AGACTCCGGGTGCGCATGTCATCTCCCACTAAGCCCTTAAACATTTTCCTGAGCAGGTTTTAGCTATCTTTATCTTATTTTTCGTTATCTTCAACGCCTGCTTCAACCTTAGTTACTTTCCCACCACGTGGAAAGAGGCAACTGTCATTGGTATCCCCAAGCCAGGAAAGCCTCACAACTTTACCTCCAGTCATCGTCCCATCAGCCTCCTCAAGGCCATGGGCAAACTCTTTGAACGAGTCATCCTCACTCGCATGAGGCTCCATCTGTTTTCCACAGACGGCGACCATCTTGACATCCCCCACCAATTTGGTTTTCTAGTGAAACATTCTTGTCTCCAAAAAGTTCACCGTATTGTGGAATATATCCTCAGCGGTTTTTATCCTCGTCGTCATAAGAACATCGCGGTCTTTTTCGACATACCAAAAGCGTTTGATAGAGTCTGGCATGAAGGCCCTATCTACAAACTCTACAAAATAGGCCTCCTTGATCGTCTTGTTCAACTCGTGGCCTCCTACCAGAAGGATCGTACCTTTCGTTTTAGACACGAAGGCACGCTCTCCTCTCTCCTCTCAGGGCTCAATGCTTGCCCCTCTGATATATATTCTGTTCACCACGACATTTCCATTCCGTCGAAAGGTGTTCAGCTCTACCTCTTTGCAGACGACACTGCCCTCTACTGAAAAGGTATCTCACTACCTTTCATACGGAACAAGATCCAAAAGTCAGTTAATAACCTAGGAGATTGGTTCCATAAAATGGCGTATTGATGAGAACCTCGGAGAAGAGCTCCGCCGATCACTTCGATCATAAACGCCGCCCCACTACCGTTCCGCCAATCCGTATGCTAGGGACCCCTGTCCCCTGGCATACGACCGCCAAATACTTAGATGTCAATCTTGACACGAGGCTTACCTTCGAGCCCCATGTCAAATGAGTAACTCGTAACGCGCGCTTTTATCTGAGTAGGCTCAACAGTATGCTGTTATGCAGTATGTAACAAGCGAACCCTTTATAAGGTCTGTATACGACCAGTTATGACTTACGCGGGCCCCATATTTTCTCACGCTAATCCCAAAATCATTAACGGACTTCAAATTGTTCAAAACCACTTCTGTCGTGTGGCTACGGCCGCACCCTGGGACTTCCGTCACACCGACCTCGATCGAGTCTTAGAGCACAGTCCAGCAATTTCTAAAAACACTATCTGAGAACTTCTTCAAAGCTTTATAGTCTCTATCTAATCATTTCATTCGTGAGGCAGCTTCCTATGCAGCCACACTCCCCTCTCGCTATCGAGTCCGAAGACCAAGAAACTCTTTTACGGACCTCCCAAACAAGCTTTCGGCCCCCTTTTTTCCAAAAGGGGGCCGAACACATACACGACAGCCGGCTGTCGTGGTATGCTTAGAGCTTTCACCACCTCCCTTACTCGCTTTCTGGAAAGTAGCCCTTTCCATTGCATCAGAGCTCAAAAAAACCGCTAGGAGTCATTCGATTTCTATGCGGCAGTAAAGAAGAATCTGATGAAAATAAGAATCAAGAAATTTTCCTTTAGTGTATATTATATTTTAGTGTTAGAATGCTGCTGCATTATTGTTGTATATAGTCAATAAATAGTGTTAAATTGTCCCACTTCTATTTTATACAGTCCTCTCAGCTTAGTACTCATTTTAATAGTGAAGTCATTTTAATTAAAAGGAAGTAAATTAAAGTTATTCAGTACACTTGCACTCTAGAACTCATCTCTTCTCAACACCACACATTTCGACTCCATCTAAGTCCCTAGTAGCAAGTGTCCACAAAAATGTGTGCTATCATCTACGCTGTTCCTTCATCAATGATATGTCAAACATATCAATGATATGTTTCAAACCAGTACCATTCATTACTATGCGGAAGACAGCAAAGGTGATGTTTTTTATACCCGTCGAGCCAATATTTCTCGAAATCACGTCATCGAATACCAAAACAAACTTGTGTATTAAGTCCAGTCATTGTTAAACTAAGTCTCGGATTGGGGACAACTAAATCTAGTCGAGTTTAACCATCAGATGACACAGGTTTGCGCATTTACCGCTTAAAAAAAGCCCTTTGTTGTATCTCTTCAATTTCAGGGCGCTCTCCTTGTTGCCTCAGCTAGCATCGGAATACTTGGCTTCGACATATCGAATGATCTGCACTTTCGTGTTCACTCGGAGAGGAAGGCTAAATTGGCTCTTGAAAAGCTTAGCGTGCTCAGCAGATCGGGACAATGTTTCATGCTAGCACACCGCTTGCAACTTTACACGGCGCAAGTTCGGTCTCAAATGGAATACTGTTCTCATCTCTGGGCCGGGGCACCCTAGTGATGCTCCTTCCACTTGACTACATCTAGCGCAGAGCGGCTCGAATCGTTGACAAACGAGTTCTTTCTGATCGGCTCCATTCACTGGCCCTGCGAAGGTATTTTACATCTCTTTGTATTTTCTATCACATCTACCACGGGGAGTGTTCTAAGAAGTTGTTCGGATTGATATCTGCCGCCAAATTTCACGACCGCACATCGCAACAAAACTCACGATACTATCCACACCATCTGGATGCTTCGCGGTCTACCATCGTGGGTTTTACTAGGAGTTTTCTTCCTCGCACAACCTACTTCTCGAATTCATTACCATCGGCAACTGTTCAGTGATGTCTCCGTGATCGCGAGGGTGAAAATTGGTAGCGATCAGCGAATACTTAGAGGCACACTGAACCTAAATGTTAAGTTAGAGAGGTCTCGTCTCCGTCTCCCTCGTGCTCTATTCCAAAGTCCCGAAACCTTTGATCTCGAGTTACAGAACTGTTTTCAGTGCCTAGAAGACTGCATTGAAGTAGACGATATGAATGACAAGCTCGTGGAAACTGTCCATGCGGTCGGAGCTAAGTTCTGCAAGACCTGCCGCAGAAGATCACAAAAACTCTCCGATCACATTCTCAATCATATGTATGTTAGACGGGACATGAAGCTACATTTTTCAACAGATTTGACGGCACACAGTCAACTGAACAGTCAGCTCTCTAAATGTATGCGGCAGGACTTACGCAACTTCAATACAGCTTGAATTGAAGAATCGATAGAGTAGAACCAAGGCTCCAAAGTCTTTGCCAGAGATCTGTCTGCCAGAAAGAACCAACTGTTAGAGCTGAAGACCGAAGGTGGCAGCATGATTTCCGGGACACCTGAGATTTTGAGTGAGATTGAGAGGTTCTATGGACAGCTGTACACGTCATCGTTGGAGCCACACGCAAGTGTGAGTAACGATCCAAAATCGAGTCTAATCCGACACTGTTCCGAAGATATCAGTCCGTCCAGACCGGACGTCAGACTGAGCGAGATTAGAATAGCTCTCCAGCATCATAAAAACGGAAAGTCTCCGGGCGAGGATGGAATTACAGCTGAGCTTTTGAAAGCGGATGGAAAACCGGTACTTGAAGTCCTTCAGAAGCTCTTTAATTCTGTCCTCCATGGTGGCACTACTCCGGAGGCATGGAGCAGATGTGCGGTGGTCTTTTATTTTCTTTTTTAAAAAAACGTCAAGGTCTTGTTCTTCAAGAAAGGCGACAACGCTCTTTTGAAGAACTACGGACCGATTTTCCTTCTGAGCCGCGTCTACGTGCTGTTTTCGACTCATTACGAATCGCCTCGCACGCAGACTTGACGACATCCAGCCTCCCAAACAAGCCGGTTTCCGAAAAGGCTTCAGTACCATAGACCACATACACACCCTTCGGCAAATTGTACAGAAGATAGACGAGCACAATCTGCAACTTTGTCTTGCGTATATGGACTATGAGAAAGCCTTTGATTCTGTCGAAATTTAGGCGGTAATGCAGTTCCTTCAGCGGTGCCAAGTTGACTGTCGGTATATCGAAGTGCTGAAGTATTTGTACAGTAGAGTTACGAAGGTTATCCGAGTACAGAATCAGAGTACGAAACCTATCCAACTGCAGAGAGGTGTACGACAGGGTGACGTTATATCCCAGAAACTCTTCACCGCTGCATTGTAAGACGTTTGCAAGCTTCTGGACTGGAAAGGATACGGTATTAAGATCAATGGCGAGTACATCACTCACCTTCGATTTACGCCGACGATATAGTCCTTATGGAAGAACCGCTGGAGGACCTAAGCACTATGCTCAATGACCTCAGTAGTGTCTCCCGACGGATAGGTCTTAAGATGAACATGGACAAAACAAAAATCATGTTTAAGGTCCATGTCACACCTATGCCGGTAGTTGTTGGGGGCACTAAGCTTGATGTTGGTGACGAGTATGTTTACCTGGGACAAATAGTTCGACTAGGTAAGTTCAACTTCGACAGAGAGGTCAGTCGACGGATTCAACTCGGCTGGGCAGCGTTCGGGAAACTACAACACATCTTCTCGTCAGGTATACATCAGAAGCTGAAAACGAAATTGTACAACCAGTGCGTGTTGCTAGTGATCACTTACGGATCTGAGACGTGGTCCTTCAGTGCTGGCCGTATGAGGAAGCTCAAGGTAGCTCAGCTAGCTATGGAGAGGGCTATGCTCGGGGTTTCTCTGCGTGATAAACTTATAAATGAGGATATCCACAGTAGAACCAGAGTAACCGACATAGCCCAACAGATTAGTAAGCTGAAGTGGCAGTGGGTTAGCCATATAGCTCGAAGAACCGACAACCGATGAGGAAGAAAGGTTCTCGAGTGGCAGCCTCGTACTGGTACGCGAAGTGTAGGGCGACCCCCCCACTAGATGGAGCGACGACCTGGTTAGACATGCAGTCGATGGATGCAGGTGGCTCAGGACCGTGCTTTTTAGCATTCCTTGGGGGAGGCCTATGTTCAGCAGTGGACTTGTGAAAGGCTGTAATGTTGATGATGATGATAAAAGCTACTGCGTATAATTTGCTAGGCCAACATCCAGTAGTGGACTATGCTCATAAGAGAAGAAGAAAAATCAAAAGAAATTAAGAAATAAAACAACAAACAACATCCATGTGTAAATCGAACGTGTAATACATTTATTTTATAAAGAGATAAAATTTCACATTTTGTAAATATTAGACATTTTCATACAAACTCAGCACAGTAGCTGCGTACATGTTAAACACGCAATTATAAACATTTACTCACATAGCTACATATAGCTCGGCTATTTTAATAATTAAACACAAGTTTTTCCTTCTCAAATACAAATCATTGTCTATCAGCATAATTTAATTTTTAAAATATTTATTTTTACACAATTCATATGAAGAAGTGTTCTTAACTTATTTTACATTTTAGAAAATAGTAGACAAAAATTTATACCATAAAAAAGTAATATGAAAAATTAAGACAACACAATCGTTTAACGTTTGCTTATTTTTCACAAAAATGGCAAACGATCAAGTATTATGCACATGCAGAACACAAATAAAATATTTCTTCATGTAGTGCTGCCGAATTTGAGTCAAAATTTTTAAAGAGAATTAAACTTTAATTTCAAAATTAAAGTTCAATTTTACAAACGCAAATGTAACTGTATCTGTATAGCGACAACAATTAAAAGCAAGTTGTCCTGATCGTTTAATAAATACGAATAATTGACAGCAAAAGTCTCATTATAGCAGCAGTCGTAGTAAAAAAGCAAAACGACGTAAACACACATACTTAGTTCCGTTAAACCTAATTGTGTCATAAGTAATCTCATATCGTAACCTATTTAACTATTTTTTTTTTAAATCTAAAATACAATACACTTAAAGATTATTAAGAGTGTATAGCGTTTAGGAAGACATCATTAGCCTGCATAAATTTCTTCATCGATATAGAAAATATAGTTAATTGTTAAATTACCTTCAAATTCATATGCAATGGCTTCGGCTACAAATATCGTTAGAAAATACCCAGTTATGCAACTACCATGAGCATTTTTATAAAGATTTTCTATTATGACCTATCGATTTAAAATCACGATAAAAAGACATCGTGTAGAGTCTTAAAATATTTTTAAAGAAATGGAGGCAATCAAGCAAATGGCTAACTTGATGGTTAGTGATGAATAAAAAAGTAGGCTCTATTCTTAAAGGTCCCTACCTCATATCTGTCAGGAAAACACCTGGAGTCAATAAATAATACAATGTTGTCGTGTGCGGTAGTAAATTCCTGATGAAACACACGAAAACTGACTGCCAACCATTGAAATAGTTAATGTTTTTTTTTTTAATGTTTCATAATTCTTTCGACATCATCAGTATCTTCATTGCAGCAATATTGAAATTTACTGCTAAAGTCATATTGCCTTCTCCATACCTTACCCTATTTCTATAAAAAAAAAACTCACTACATACCTTCATAGTATTTTCTTTCTAATCGATTGTCGGTTTTCATATCTATATGGCCAGCCCAATACTACTTCCATTTAGCTATGTACTCTTATTTTACTATACATAACTTTGTTACGTATTATATCACGTAAAGAAACCTCGACCTATGCTTATGCCTTCTTTTCAACTCCCAGAATGACTTTGACACCAGCAGTAAAGGCCCCGGAAGTCATCGCTGACAACATGTACTGACAGTACAGTTTTGACAGAAAGAATCAGTTGATAAGTTGAAATAGTAAAAAAATGTTGAAATCAAAATAGTATAGAAGTGGTCAAAAATATTACACGAATCAGAAAAAAATCATTATTTCAATAAGGAAATGTTACACACGTCAGCATAAAATATGAAAAATTACGGATATATACAATTCAACTGGGTATTTTCTATAAATTATTCTATAAAATTTTGCACTTTGTCACTCTGGTAGCATTTATTTCTTTTTATTCATATATATGGATAAATCTAAGACGGATAGAAAAGAAACGAAAAATACAATTCATGTTATTTGTTTTATATAAAATGAAAGGCAAAAGCAAATTAATATAATCTATAGTGTTACGAATTTTAAAAAAAGAATTGAATAGTAATTTAGCAAATTTGCTATAAAAACAATAACTGTTAAAGATATTTTTTTTTAATAAACAATCACATAATATAGTCGTTTAGTATTAAAAATCACTGTTTTAATATCTTCCACAAAGTGGTCAAAGCAATGGAAGCAACACATTTATTACAACATTTAATACATCTAAAGCGCACCGGATATAAATGATAACACTTGACAAGAAGTTCTGAAGTAAAATAAAAACGCGGAGAATTGTCGGGCAAGCTGTCTCACTAAGAGTATTCAGATCGCATAAGAAAGCTTCTTAAACATTTATCACATAAATTCACGTAGACACGTTGACAACCGACAAAAAATATACAGGAGGAAATCTTCACTTATAATTTCAAGAACCCACACAACATTTATATGTATAAATCTCTATTTATATTCACTCCTAATGATATGTTTAGTTACATAATTGCTCCTAAAAATTACAAAATCAAAGGCAGCTAATGCTAAACAATATAAAAAAATAACAGAACGAAAGAAGTAACAAACAATCTATTTGTTTTTATCTTTAATTAAATTACTTTAATTTTAATTTTTAATCATTTCTTAAAATTGGAAAGTTCCAATTGTATCAAATAAAATACAATAATTTGAATATTTTTGTCACATGCGTATTTTATGTAATTTTTTTTTAAATTGGCATCAATCGTTATAAAGTAGGAGGTCCTACTTTTCTTTTCACATTTTAATGTAAATAATAAATTACATAATATTATATAAAAATTTAAAGTTGCTTTACAGTATCGATAGTTCACGACTCATGTTATTTAATATGTTATATAAGTATTTACATGGTTTATGTGTTAAACGAATTTCACTGCTTTTAGAGTACAAGATTTTAAAAAAAAAAGTTCAAGAGTCACAATTTACTTAATAAATTGATAAAAAATGTATGCTCAAATGAAATTATATTTTATTTTAAAGATGAACTGATACCGACTAAACGTAAGAAAATTGATGAAGTTTTTGATAATTGTTAAAAGAATATAATATGGAACAAAATTCATGTACATGTATCATTGACCAAAGTATTGCCTTTGATAGGGACTTATTAAATCTGTATTTTAGAATAAAAAACAAAATGATCTCTTTAAGCTACTGAAGACATGTACATAAAATTTTCATTTTCTAAGAAATTATCAAGATGATCACAACTATATTTCTACGTCAGTCTTATAATTGCACGTAAATATATAAAATAAACGCAACAGTGTTACACTTATATTTTCTTAATCATAAAGAATAAAACAAATTAAAAATGATAATGACTTTTTACTTAAATATGTTAGAAAAGTTATATACTTTATTAAACTCATACACTAGCATAGGATAGATAAATTAACATTTTTTAAAATTCATTTCTGCTGGTTTAACTTCTTCCTAAAATCGGATATTGCGGGTAACATATATGCTTTCCTACATGATACTAAGAAATATATTAAAATTAATATTATATCGTAAGACTAGTAAATGAACATGTCAAAATACAAAAGCACCTATTAAGTTATATCAGCGACATCTGATTGATACTTTCGGGCTTAGGTAAATCTGGCTTAGCCCAGGAAAAGCTAGTTTGACCTGAAAGCGGTTTTGGTAGGTAGCACTGCTTTAACATCGTAAGTTTGCCTTATTTTTTAAATAAATAGAATATAATTAACAGTAATTTGCTTAAAACAACGAATCTTTTTATAATGGCTAAAGAAATTAGTTTGATCGTAGGCAATTAACGAATATTTGACTGTCATAACTTAAACGTCTTCGACGTTTGATCAAAGAAACAAGAATGGTCAATCATAATATGCATAAATATAAACATTACAATGTTGATTTAATAATCGATGTATGCATTAGAGTCTGTATACCGAGTAGTGGCGGTATAATACCCGACTTCTATATTCAAGAAACGTTTCGTTCTCCGTAACAAAAAAAAAACTTTCGTTCTCTGCAAAACGACCCGTAAAAGAAAACGAAGCGTTTAAAATATAGAAATAAAGCTTAAAAGAATCGGCTACTCCGGAGAAAAAGTAATTCAAATAGCAATATCGGAAATAGTTGTCACAATGATAAGAATATTGCAGGTTAGTTTTGGTATTACTTTGAATACATATTTACAATTCAATAGAAAAATTAAAAATAAAATTGAATGTTACTCTAAAATCAAAAGGAACATTTAATATAGTAATCGAAATTTTGCCACCGATTTTAATAAGAGAAGTACCAAATAAAAGCTCATAACTCAATAATTATTCTTACAATTAATCGTATGTTAGTTGTCGCTTCTTTCTCTTAAAAATTATTCAATTTACAGCTATACAAAAATAATATAAAAATACCGTAAATTATATTTAATACATGTGGATAAATCATTTATATTGGAACCTGACGAAATAATTAAGGTTTATTCTTTTGCCTTTAATCATAATCAGATGTACACAAATTTAATAACGAGTATTGACAACATCAACAAAGGTATTTAAGTGATCCAATTTCAAACTTTTCCTAAATAAATAGTAAATTTGTATAAATTAAGCAAGGTTAGAATAACATGTATTAATTGTTCTTTATAGCAGTAAATAACTCAATTGAATAATATTATAGTTTAAGAAACATTAAACAACACGATTTCATCATGAACTGTAATGATCATACTGAGAACACCAAGCCATAGTCATTGAATTATTGTATTGTCATCGGATCTTAATACCTCTGCAAAATTTTAGATCATTTCAACGTCTGGGAGTGGCTGAAAACTGAATTACGGAATTCCATTACATTCATACATACATAGATACATTAGGGGTCAAGTAGATATAAAGCGACTAAAAATGGAATGAAAAGTCCTACAGAAACAATCAAACGATTGCTTAAATTGAAATAAAAAACAGAAAATCTACAATACCTAATGTGGAAACAAAGCTGGTCATTGAATACGGACACATTTAAACGACAAGTAATTCATATTTCTTCTATTTTTTACACAGTTGCACATTCAATACCGGTTGATAAAATAGTACACTAAATAGCACAGCACAATTAGCGCACGTCGAAGTTCGCAGCGATTCGATGAGTTTTGCTCAGGGCTGATGATCTTAACGGGAAGTTGAGTGGGTGGTGGTTCCATACGTATTACATTCACTGAAACGATACAATACATTCTCGATAGGCACTGGCTAAGTATTTTACAACGAAACTGCAGGCCGCGTATTTATTTCTAGTTTGGAACGATTGTGGGAAGTTCACAATTAATTGTTCTGAATCTGGGTGGTCATTCATGTGTAATTTATTTTCAAAACAATATGACGTCACAGGAGAGATTCTTAGTGTCAAGGTCACTTTTTTAAGTCATAATCATCATTATTATCATTACATTCCATCACAAGTTTACTGCTGTACATAGGCGTCCCCCAAGGAATGCCACTAAATACAGTCCTGAGCCAGATGCATTTATCGACGATAAGAGATGCATAAAACATGTATCTCTTACCAGTTCTTGACATCATCTAGTTGGTGATCACCCTACACTTCGCTTTACGAGTCTGTCACTCGAAAACCGTTCTTGTCTATCGGTTGCCGTTTCATATTCTTTATTCTTATTTTTTAATGTTAGAGTTAAATAAGCCTTTTTATAATCATTTTCTCAACAAATTAAAAAAAACAGTAAGTATACATTTGTAATTAAACGAGAAAAACACAATTTGTGTTAAAATGAAGAGGGTTAGGATTTAGTTGAGCAAGCTATTAACAATTTGAAATTAAATCCCTCAGGCAAATCTTTTCCTTCAAGAAAAATAATTGGTTTAAACATTCCCTGTGATGTTTATTATTATCTATCTCAGATTATAAAGAGCCTTTTCGACTTCAACTCCAATTTGTAATGAAAAACAAAATAACTGATTAATATTCTTACCAGTAACCGTATGATTTTGGAGATCGGCGAAACCTTCGCCGACATTAGCATAGCTGGGTATCGTGCTGAGGCAGGTGATTTCAACGGTCTGATTGGGAAACAGCTGTAGACTTGATAGTGGGAAGTGAAGCGAGGAGTTGGTCAAGGACAGTGGCATACCATGGTGGTGACGATGGACGTTCCAAGTGCCGTGCGGTTCGATTAGCCTTTCATCCACCTGTTAGTTACAAAAAAAAATTACAATTTGAATCCGTATTTTTTAAAGAAATTCCCAATACTTTTTTTGGATTTGAATTGGACAAATACAACTAATTAGTTTCCGTAATAGTTCATTTAAATTTCTTTCAATAAACTCTGTTGTCATTGATTTTATAAGAATGTGAGTGATAGAAACTTCTAAATGGGAAAAAAACAAATAGAAGTGTTATAAATTAATGCATACCTTCATATGGTTTATGAACCACGTAAGATGTGGGGCTGGATGAGCGGGTGCACTTTGACATGTTGCCTCTAGATTCTCGTTGGACGACAACTTCTTGTGTTTAATTTTTATTTTTGGACGGTATTTCTGGCGGACTAGAAAACAAATTAAATTACTACATTACAAATATAATATTGATACTATTACTTTTTTTTTATTGGATAGGGTGACAAACGAGCACACAGTCCACCTGATGGTAAGTGGCCACTGCGACCCATAGACATCTACATCTATCCTCAATAAATACTCAAGATGCAGATGCGTTGTCACCCGTAAGGACTAAGATGGAATGCCTCTTTGCCAGTAAAAAGGGTCTCCGGTTCTCTACACTCACTATACGAAACACAGCAGCGTTAAGCTGCTATTTTACGCTGGTTTTCTGTGAGAGCGTGGTCCTTCCCCGGTCGAGCCGACCCATTTCTGCTACAACTATACCACTAATATAGCTGCAGCATGGCTCTACCACGTATAAAAATACTGTACTATTTAACAACGATTATTTAAACTGTGTTCTATACGTGGTAGAGCCATGCTGCAGTTATGTTATTAGTATAGTTATAGCACGAATAGGAAGGCTTGACCGAGGAAGGACCACGCTCTCACAGAATACCAGCGTAAAATAACAGCTTAACGCTGCTGTTTCGTATGGTGAGTTTAGAGAATCGGAGACCCTTTTTACTGGAAACAAGGCATTCCATCTTAGTCCTCACGGGTGACAAATATTCAACGGGTTGGAACAAAGTTCCTTTCGTGGTATATTATTATTGATAGACGTATTATACTTATATTATTGATTAACATATACAAATAAATTAATTACTAGCGTCTATTAAAATAAAGCGTCATTTAAAATAAAATAATATTTCTTTCATGGCAAACAGACCGACAAAGAGACAATTTTTTTTTGTTGTAAGCTGTATATATAATTGGCCCCTCATCTCAGGGGTACCTCGTTTAGAGCCGCGGCGGCATCAGAGGCACCTGAACTGAATAAGTGGCGCAAATATGAGTCTCTGAGCGATGACCACATATTTGTGTTATTTGCTGTAGAGATTATCGGTCCGTGGGGTCCACGTGCGGTGAGGTTCCTAAAAGAACTCCATCCGCGGCTGGTCGTTGCTGCTGGTGATAAGAGGGCTGATACTTTTCTCGCTCAAATGCTAAGTATAGACATTCAGCGGGGAAACGCAGCCAGCGTACTTGTCACGATACCGCGGGGAGTAGGACTATGTGATAATTAAGTTTCTAGTTTTAGTTTTTTACTATTATTATTGTATTTAAATAAATAAAAGATTTTAAAAAAATCACATGTATTTAGTAAAAGCTGTTAGTTTCATATTACAAACAGACTGTTCAATTTTATTATTTGTATTTGTATAGATTTTTTATCTAAGAAGTAACAAACGAACTTGCATGATGAGCAAGTTGCTAGTGCAGTCCATAGACAAAGAAACAGAAACAGAAACTTTTTTATTCAATATAGATTATAAATAATACTTATTGAAAGTCACTCTTTTGTTTAATTACCACTGTTTCGAAAAAAAATATCCGTCCTGGAAATAACCAGCAAGGTTTTTTTTAAAACAGCTTACAATCATGTATGTTACACAATTAACCACACGAAACAAATTAGAAATAGCATGGTAGCGATCACCTAATTCCAAGTGGTTATTATAATCAATAAATTCCTTAATATTATAATTACCCTTTTTATACAAACTTTGCTTAATAAAGTTTTTGAACTTTGAGCAGGTCAAATTTTGTATATTTTCTGGGATTTTGTTGTAAAAGCATATACATCGCCCCAAGAATGAATTACTGACTCGCTGGAGTCAAGTAACTAGTACTACTAGCTTGTGTTTATTCCTAGTATTTACAGAATGAATATCACTTATTTTTGTATAATAACTAATTTTATTTTTGTGTACGTTGTACGTACATTACATTTTCATAAATGTATCGAGAGAACAAAGTTAATATATCAATTTCCTTAATTTTTGTCGGTGCGACTCTTTAGGTTTTAAATCATAGATTGCCCTTATGGCCCTCTTCTGTAAAGCAAATATAATTTCAGTGTAAGTCGCTTAGAAAAACACTATATAAAATTATGCTATGGAAATAGCTAAAGTAAACAAGTCTAGCTGTATCCACACTGGAAAGATTTCTAATCTTTTTTACAGCATATGCTGTATAACTAAGTCTGCTTGCTAATTTTTATATATGGGTGCTCCATTGAAGCTTCACGTCTAGTGTTTTTCCAAGAAAAATGGTGGTATCGACAAGACTCAGTTTCTCCCCATTTAAAATTACATTAGTATTGAATTGTTTGACATTTGGAGTCATGAATTTCATACATTTCGTTTTGGTGCTATTTAAATGCAAGGTATTAACATTAAACCAATTTACTAATATAAATATAGCATTATTTACTTTGTCATATTTTAATAATTGCCGTTTTAATTTGAAAATTAATAACGTGTCATCAGCAAATATTACAATATTATGGTTATCCCCTACTATGTAAGGTAATTCATTAATATATAGAAGAAACAGAAAGGAGCCGAGAATTGAGCCTTGAGGCACACTCTTTAGTACTATCTACTCGGAAGAGCTCATACTATTAATGAAAACTTTTTGCGTTCTGTTACTTAAATATGAAATAATTATTTCTTATACACACATTTAAATAAAACTAATTTTACGGATTTTATCGCGTATATTAACTTATTTTATATTCCCGACGTTTCGAGCACTTTACAGAACCCATGATCACGGGTCATGGGGACTGAGGTGTATGACGTCCCAATGTCATCGTAAATCGCGGCTACCTCAAGATTAAAAATTATTAATTTTTGTTGTGTATATATTTGATCATCTTCAATATCAATCTTATTTTATTTTCCTGTGGCCAACAGGCAAAATAAACGAGATAATTTTATGTACATTTAAAGTATTTAGATAATCAATATATTTTAATAATTGAGTTTTGTTTACATTGCCTCTTCTCCCAACAAGAATTATTAATGTGCTATTAGGGCAAAACTTACTAGTTATAACTTTATTCATTATATGAATTAAGGATGCTCCAAGCATACAATAATTACTAACCAGTTGTCATTTTGAACAGTTATTTAACATCATGTCCAAATTTTGTCTGTCATGACAATACATTATAACTTTTTTTTAAGATGCAGATGCAATCTGTGTCACCTCTGAAGACTAATATGGAATGCGATTAATCAGGCAAGAGATTTTTACCTATCGATACGGAGTCTTAGACAGAAAAAAAGTCCTACTACCTAGTAGCTAGTGTTTATACAAAATTTTGCATTAAATTTAAAAACACCAAACTTTGACAGCGTATCTTTTACAAGACGTCAATGATTCTTCAATAGTCAATAAATTAACCATTCCAGAATCATTGATTGACTTCATGAAATAAAAAGGCTGTTATAGTGGTTTTCTGTACTTTCAGGAGATAAGGAATCTTATAAACTTAAAGTTATTAGTGGAAGGATTAACAGGTGGTCATTTATAAACAGATAGAAATCACTCACCTATGACATTTAATTCATGCAATTTAGATACTTTGGAATACAAAGGTGTCTCCAGTGCTATCTCGCAAGCGTATGAACCCGATGCTGAAAAGTCCATTCTCTCCAGTGTTATCGAAGTAGGCGTTAGTTGTATTAACTACAACGATAAAAAGAGAAATTATTATAATGTATGATATAATTCTGTAAAAACATATTTGCTTTATTTAAATACTTTATAATTTTACTGACTTTGCCGTTATTATTGTCACATTATACTGGAATGTTAAAATATTACTTTTTATTAACATTTATGGATACTTACATTTATATCAGCACCAGTGAAATTGTAAAGTTCAAAAGGTGGATCTCGGCCGCGTACATACTTCATTATCCTTTGGCCATGCTTAAAAAACACCACCTGTTCAAAAATAAGGATACCTTTTAATACGAATTATACCAAATATACCAGTTTTAAGTTTTTTGTTATACTAAAACAAAAATACAGCCTGTATGTAACCCACACTAAATATCGTCTAATTTCACCTCTCATGAAGGAAGAGTTTTTAGAACAAGAAAAAGGCCGTCAGGCTGCCCTGACACGAGTTGACGTTGATGTGTTTTCGAAATGTTTAAGCTTCTAAGAGATGTAGGTTTTCTTACGATATTTTCCTTAACCTTCGCGCACGTTTTTAATGTTTGTACATTTAAAATGCGATCAGCAATTTTATTGAAACCTGTGCAGTGTACTATGAAATTTATAAGAAAGCACCTATCCTAATGCATATGTATTTTTCATATAGCCTATTTTAACGCTGTTGAACATAGGCCTCACCCATAGATTGATTCATAGGCGTAATATTCGCTATAGTCGCTACGCTTGGCAAGCGGGTTGGCAACCGCAGTTTCATTTTTATTTTTAGTTTTTATAAGGAAGACGTTGCTGCTCATCTCTTGATTTGTTTCCCTTTGTCATCTCACGAGACCCACGGGGTGATATGAGGTAGTGGACACCGCCACTATGAATGTTTAGTACATATTTTATTACAACTCTTTTTCTGTCTACACTTTTTCTTCTATTTGTGCATGATATAAATTTTTCTTCTATAATTTACTATTTACTATAATCCCCTTGCTTGTTAATGCTGGCCAGATCGACGATTTCTATTACAAAAAATGCTTGAACACTGCCACCCCAAAATATCTTCTATATTTGATACTGGCCTATTTCTGATTGACATACTTTAACTGTCGAAGGTCATGGAATTTATTTAATTGTGTGTGTATACCATGTGACATAATTATACAGTGGAAATTTTTTATGCCACTATAAGATTTGAAACTCAATATTTATTAATACTAAGTTCTACAAACAATACCGTACCTAATGACTTTCTTTGAAGTCTCTCTACTATTTTTGGCTACCTCGTTGATCTAGTGGTTGTAGTAGTGCGACTGCTGATCATGAGGTCCCGGGTTCGGATCCCGGGTCGGGCAAAAAAATCAGTTTTGAGTTCTTCTATAAAGAAATTCTCAGTAGCTGTCCGGAGTCAGGAAGTTGGCGGTGTCTCACCCTGTGCCTCGGAAAGCATGTTAAGCCGTTGGTCCTGCGCCTGATCTCTCTCCGGTCGTGTCGGTTTACCATCCCATCGGGCTATGAGAGTGAGGGAATAGAAACAGAAACAGAAACAGAAACTTTTTATTCAATATAGATTATAAATAATACTTATTGAAAGTCACTCTTTTGTATGATTACCACTGGTTCGAAAAAAAAACCTCTGTCCTGGGAAGAACCAGCAAGAAACCCAGCGGGACTTTTTTTTAAATAACAGCTTACAATCATGTATGTTACACAAATTAACAACACAATAAATTAGAAATAGCTTGGTAGCGTTCACCTCATTTCCAGGGGTTATTATCATCTATAAATTCATTAATATTATAATAACCCTTTTTATACAAACTTAGTTTAATAAAGTTTTTGAACTTTGAGCAAGTCAATTTTGTATATTTTCTGGAATTTTGTTGTAAAAGCGTATACATCGCCCCAAGAATGAATTACTGACTCGATGGAGTCGAGTAACTGGTACTACTAGCTTGTGTCTGTTCCTAGTATTTACAGAATGAATATCACTTATTTTTGTAAAACTACTTTTATTTTTGTGTACGTACATTACATTTTCATAAATGTATTGAGTGGCCAAAGTTAATATATTAATTTCCTTAAATTTTTGTCGCAGCAACTCTTTAGGCTTTAAAACATAAATTGCTCTTATGGCCCTCTTCTGTTTAACAAATATAATTTCAGTGTCAGCTGCGTGTCCCCATAGCAAAGAACCATACGACATTATGATATGGAAATAGCTAAAGTAAACTAGTCTAGCTGTTTAAACACTAGTTAGACTTCTAATCTTTTTTACGGCATATGCTGCAGAACTAAGTCTGCTTGCTAGTTTTGATATATGAAGGCTCCATTGAAGCTTCGCGTCTAGTGTGATTCCAAGAAAAATGGTGGTATCTACAAGACTCAGTTTCTCCCCATTTAAAATTACATTAGTATTTATTTGTTTGACATTTGGAGTCATAAATTTCATACATTTCGTTTTAGTGCCATTTAAATGCAAATTATTAACATTGAACCAATTTACTAATTTAGATATAGCATTATTTACTTCGTCATATTTTAGCAATTGTCGACTTAATTTGAAAATTAAAGAAGTGTCATCTGCAAATAATAATATATCATGGTTATCTCCTACAATGTAAGGTAAGTCATTAATATATACAAGAAACAGAAAGGGGCCGAGAATTGAGCCTTGAGGCACGCCCATTTGTACTATCGACCCGGAAGAACTCATACTGTTAATGACAACTTTTTGCGTTCTCTTACTTAAATATGAAATAATTAATTAAAGAGCATCACTTCTTACACCGTAGTGTTGAAGTTTCCTGATTAATGTTTCATGGTGAACACAATCGAAGGCTTTGGATAGGTCACAAAATATACCCAAAGCATGCTGTGAATTCTCCCATGCATTAAATACATATTTAATCAGCTCAACACCGGCATCAGTTGTCGAGCGACCCCTTGTGAAACCAAATTGATTTTTATGAAGTAAATTATTTATATTAAAGAAATTTAACATTTGATCAAGAATAATTTTTTCAAAAATCTTACTAAGTGTTGGTAGTACAGAAATAGGTCTAAAATTGGCGGGGTCTTATGTACTACCAGATTTAAATAAAGGTATTACTTTACTATACTTCATTAAATCAGGAAACACACCAGATTCGATACTAGTATTAAAAATAATAGCTAAATGAGGCGCGATTGTATCTATTATAGACGCAATAACTCTAACGGAAATCCCCCACAGATCCGCAGTTTTCTTAACATCAATAGTTTTAAAATATTTTACAATATCTTTTGATGATACTTTATGAAATGCAAAATTCTTTGTACACGCATTTACATTTTGTTTAAGTAATGATTCGGCGACCGCAGGAGAAGAATTCAGTGACTTAGTGGTTAATATCGGAATATCAGTAAAATATTTCTCAAATACCTTTGCAACGTCCTGATCTGATTCGGTTAATTTGTTACTAACACTTAACTGGTACTTTGAATTGCGAGAGTTGATCTTACCAGTTTCGCTATTAATTATACTCCATGTCATTTTAATTTTATTAGAAGCCGTCTTAATTTTGTTGCTCAAATGCAAAGACTTAGCTGTGGAGCACATTCTTTTAAATATTTTTGAATATTTTTTCACATATTCCCTAAATTCGACGCTATGATTATATGACCTTTCATGGTAAAGATCATATAACCTATGTCTGCTCCTATGGACTCCTACTGTCGCCCATTCATTAAAACTTCCGACTGTACAAGGAGAATATTTTAGAAGTAAAAGTATTATGAAATTCATTGCAAATAAGCTTAAATAATGTTCCATACAAAAAATTTGGATCATTTTGGTATGAAAGTGATGGAAGTTTTTTCACTATGTTACTTCTAAATTTCTCCAAGCGACGTGCATTTACTGGAACAAACACAACTTTCTCATCTACTTGCTTTTTGTGAACATAAGGTAACGAAACTACCTGTCCACAGTGATGAGAACTTAATTTTTGAATTATAAATTTAAGCAACGGCTTCACATTTGTAAAAATGTTATCTATACATGTTGCACTAGATTGAGCAATACGCGTTGGCTCTAAAAATAAATTAAAAAGACCATATGATTTAAACAATGATCTAAATTTAATATTGATTAAGGAAGCTTCTAGGAGATTGATATTAAAGTCTCCACATATTACAACAGATTTATTCTGTTTATTAAGCTTAGCAAAAACTTCCTCCATGATTTTTTCAAAAGTATCGTATATAGAAAATGGGGGTCTGTAGACGCTCACAACAATGAGGTGCTCAAACTCAACACATGCCATGTCTACAGTTCGCTCAACAGAGTGGCTCACAATATCTTTACGTTCTTTACATGACAATAATTTACTAGCTAATATTAAGGAGCCACCTCTTAAAACCGTTTCTCTATTAAAAGAACTGACCACCTGGTGATTACTGAAGTTAAACATTAAGTTATAATCTTTTAACCAATGTTCAGTAATACATAAAATATGAATATTGTTGCTATTTAAGAACAACTCAATTTCTAGCTCTTTGCCTATCATACCTTGTATATTTTGATGCACCAGGTGTAAACAATTTCCATTATTACTCTGTGGGGTCATACAATTAAAGATTTGTAAGCTACATTCTAAATTATTTAAATTATTACAACTGCTAGAGATTACCTCTATTGTCTCATTTTCTAATTTAAATTACTTGAAACTGATTCCAAATTACATATTAAGTCATTATACTGATCAAAAGGAGCAGATATCTGTGTAGCCAAGTCCTTGGCTGAGTTAATATATAAACAATAAGATAGCACATTTGCTATCTGTCTTAAAATATATTTAGATAGGTAATACCTATCTCTAGTCAAAAATTTCTTAATTAAATTATTTATGTCTATTAAATTAAATTTATTATTATAATTATAACAATTAAATGTCAAGTTTAAATTATTATTACATGAAAAGTTATTCATTAATAAATTTAAATCATATCTTATTTTATTTTCTTGCGGCCAACCCTATATGTAAGGCAATGTAAACAAGATAATTTTATGTACATTTAAAGTATTTAGATTATCAATATATTTGAATAATTGATTTTTGTTTACATTGCCTCTTCTCCCAACAAGAATTATTAATGTGCTATTAGGGCAAAATTTACTAGCTAAAACTATATTCATTATGTGACTAAGGGTTGCTCCTGGCATGCAATAATTAGTGATCATATGTCCTTTTAAACAGTTATTAAACATCATGCCCAAATTTTTGCCTATGTCATCACAATACATAATAACTTTATTTTTTTAAATATTTACATTGCTTTTTAAGTTTATATCCTTTGTCATGGCACTGTCATAGAGTATAGGTGAAAATAATGAGTCCTTACTGTTTACTTTGTTATTTACACATATTGTCCCCGATGAACCTGGTATGGAGCACTGACACTCACTCTGATGTTTTATTAAGGAGTCAAAGCGCTCCTCATTATATTTGCATGATTTTACCAGATCATTCATGGCCAATATGTGTTCTTTTATCTCATGTTGAGCCGATGCATATTTATTTGATAAAATTTGTAGGGATTTTTTAAGGGATAAAAGTGTTGAATTTAGACACTCTATATCAGTCTCATAACAGTGATTCATATTTTCCACCTCAATTGAATATATTTTAAGTTTATTAATTAATTCTTGCTTTTCTTTGCATACATTTATATAATTTTTAACATTAATTTTGGTTTTAATTAATTTTTGCAGTTTTCTAGTATATTTATTAATTTTTATATATTTCTTTAATTTTCTTCTACTGCAGGTAGTCCTTGCCGCTGTTCTTGATGTGACATAATCATCACCAGTCAAATCAATTGTTGTGGAGGGTTGCAATGCTTTAGAAGATTCACATTCTATGAGCTCGTTGAACAGACTTTGAGTTTGGGAAGCTTTCATGTTGTCTATGTAATGTTTTAATTGCACAATCTGCTCATTAGCCTTACTTAACTGTAACTGCAATGCAGCAATTAATCTGAGGGATTCCTCATATTCCTTGCTGCATTGATCAAACTCATCGACTGTTCTCTGAAGTTGATCCCTTTCTTTTGAAACAAATGTATATTCTGTATGCAACTTAACCATATCACTTTTTAGCTCATTATTTTTAGCTATTATATTTATTATTTCCTTTTCATTGTCATCCCTTTCTTTACATAACAGCTCACACTGCTCCTTTGACGCCTTAAGTTCTTGAAGCGCCATTTGAAGTTGGTTCTCTAATTGGTGCGTTTTGGCGTTGCGTGTATTCATTTTACTATTAAATGTAAATAGCAAAAGAAAACAAAGAAAGAAAACCAAAGAAGCAGAGTAAGCAAATGACTAGATGTATGGGTTTATTTACAGATCTCAAATTAAATTATCATGTAAATAATTCAAAATGAAATCCAGAACAATACTTACTTAATAGGTAAATCTTAAAATATTAAAGGGATAACAAGGATTACACTTACAATAAGTTTAAACTATGTTCGTTACAGCTGTTACTTTTGGTTGGAACTTGGAACACTAAACACAATGTAATTAAAATAGGTACTTCTGAGTTTTACTTATTTCACAAATACAAATAAGTCGTATTTAACAACTGTAACTCAAAATTGAGGTGGATATTATCAATTTACAATATTTAATTTTTAAAAATAGTTGGGAGCAATTATTTTACAACTTGTCACCGGGGTTGCCACAAGAAAGCTTTTCTAATAGAATAGAGAGTGCATCTGTGCTTGCGCATACACTTGGGCAATATAATCCTGTCCTGCGCAGATGGCAAGTCTCCGTTGAGACTGGCCGCCGTGACTGAAGTTCAGTCTGGAGGAAATTATTATTATTTCTATTTTTACGTGGTAGAGCCATGCTGCAGCTATATTAGTAGTATAGTTGTAGTACGAATGGGTCGGCTCGCCCGGGGAAGGACCACGCTCTCACAGAAAACCAGCGTAAAATAGCAGCTTAACGCTGCTGTGTTTCGTATGGTAAGTGTAGAGAACCGGAGACCCTTTTTACTGGCAAAGAGGCATTCCATCTTAGTCCTCACGGGTGAACACGCATCTGCATCTTGCGTCTTTATTGAGGATAGATGTAGATGTCTATGGGCTACAGCAACCACTTACCATCAGGTGGACTGTGTGCTCGTTTGTCACCCTATACTATAAAAAAAATGTGTTATAAAATATTTTTAAAGACAGTGTAATTTAGATCAATATTAAATTGTACATACATTGTATAATCATTTAAATTATTAACCTTGAAATATTTAAAAACACCAAACAACAATTAATATCCAACAAACCGAATTTCAAACAGGGCGGCAAGTCTCAACGAGACAAGACTAGCCATATACGCAGGATTGTATTATAGTGCACAAGTAAATGCGCAAATACAGTTACTGCCTCTATTCCCTCACTCATATAGTTCGATAGGACGGCCATCTGACGCAAACAGAGAGAGAGAGAGAGATCAAGCACAGCACTAAAGGCATGTCAAAACATGCTTGTCGAGGCACGTGGGTTAAAACACCATCAACTTCTTAACTTCGGGCTGATATGGAGAATTTCTTGACAAAAGACCTAATAACAGATTTTGACCCAACCCGAAATTCGAACCCGGGATCAGCGCACCACACGATCAGTAGTCAAGCTAACGACCACTAGACCTATGAGGCATAATCAAACAATTTTACGTTATAGAGTGAGAATGTTATGAATGTATATTTACACAAACTGTTTACCCTAACAGAGTAGTAGCAAACATAAACAGTAACGTCATTTAGATTGTTTACGTACCTTGTATAGGGACTCTGGATCAACATTGTGCTCGCAACGAAGAACGGCGCTGTGGCGGTGTACGACGAAGCGCGGCGCTCGCAATTCCACCCAGACGTCTGACATGCCTGCCACTGCGAGAATGTTAGTTTAGTAAAAACAAATAATTGAGAATCGTGTTGCAAGATGCCATTGGAATTTAAATAGCAAAAATGTTTAAGTATGAAGTTCGAATCGACGGATCGTGTTGCTTCTGGAATCCGAAAAGAGGATAATGTTTTAGGAGTATCATATTTGTTAGCTTTTGAATTTCACTATTAGAAATCTATTTGAGTATTTAAAAAATTGAAGTGATAAACTTATTTACAGTTCATCTGATGGAAATAGATGCCCATGGATCTGCAACCAACTTCAATCAAAGAATGCAAAAAATGTGTTTTCAATAATGAGGACTAATATGGAATAACTCACAGTATGTAGAATATACTGGCTCCCTATTATCCTTAGGCCCGAGCATTTAACAGCGGTCCTGAAAATACAGAGTTTCAAATCTCCCTAGAATAATCTTTACTTTTAAATAAATAAAATATTATTGGTATTTCCCTATTGAAAATAAATTAATTTTCGTTTTTCTCAATTTAGTTCAGTTTTGTAAGTATTTAGTAATAAAATCCGCCAGACCAAATTTCGGTCTTTTGCGACTAGTCTCAAAGGAGATTAGCTAACTGCGCAGGACATGATTACAGCGCACGCAAACACAGGTGCACGACATCCGACACGATCGGAGAGATATCAGGTGCAGGGCCAAAACCTTTGCATGTGTCCGAGGCTCGGGGTGAAATACCGCTAACTTTCTGACTCCCGGCTGCTTCTGAGAATTATTTCACAGAAAATCTCAATTACTAATTTTGACCCGACCCGGGAAATAATCCACTACATGATTAGCAAACTAGATCAACGCAATCAATAAAAATAGTATCCAGATATTAACGAGAATTTTAAAAACTTTTAAATTTTACTAGACAGAATAGTCTAGATAAAAAGAAAAAAGCGGAAGTTCATCGATCGAATCAAATGGCCACAGCCGTAAATACTCGGAATGGACATCTTTTCGTTTAAAAGCAAATGAACACAGAGGCAGCACTGTAAACCGATAAAATGCAAATTTAGTTCCGTAATGCATCCTTTAGTTGGGAGATAGAGATTCCGTCTCTGGTTACGGTAAAGGAAATTACTTGGATGGACTATTCTGTTCTTAGGATGTTTGTTTTTTCTAAGCAAATTTATTTTTCGTCTTTTTACATTGATTATGAATTGGTAAAATAACAAATATATATAAAAACTTCTTTATTCAATATAGTTCATAAATAAAACCTAAAGAAAGCCATTATTATGTTTATTTTACGATTTTATCATTTTGCATTTCTTTCTAAAATATTAACATAAGAAATTTAACTACTTAACTATTTCTTTATCAAAAGACTTAGGTTCTGGATTTGACTGTACTTTTTTGTATCTAAGTTATACGATATTTTCGCAAATTGTGTTAAATAAACTTTATTTTAAGGGTGGATCCATTGAAATTTGAAGATAAAATTCCACCTCAAAAGTGAAATCTGTTTTAAATGAAATTTTAATATAACTATTTAGGACGACATTCTTGAAATTCTTTCCTACTTTAGCAAGAATGGGTCGGCTCGACCGAGGAAGGACCACGTACTCAGAGCATCCATCAGGTGAACTGTGTGCTCGTTTATCACCCTTATTCTATTATAAAGGTAGGATATTCATATAGGTCATTATGGAAACATCTATTTGTGGTAAAACAAAATTAATAATAATAGTAATAAATGCTTTTATTGACATATAAATTTAACAAATGTAAGAACAGTGAGTCTAAACATCTAAAAAATTTTCAAGACAAGATACATTTTTCGAGTAATTGCAAAAAATTGTCTATAGTGTTTTTCCGCAATTACTCGAAAACGGTAAAAGTTAGACAAAAAATTTTTTTGGAGAAAGTGTACAGCTTAAAATTTTATATAAAAAAAAGGTGTTATTATTTTTTCCTCTGGTCATAATTAACCAACTTAGAGAAATTTAGAGATGAACGTCAATTTAAGAAATCGTTATAGTAGAAAAATAAGCGTAAATTTTTTTATTATTAAAATATAACAAATTTACCTACACCTGCCGAAATATACCAGGTAATGTTTTTTCCTTGTTCCCCCCCTACTCGGTTTATTTTGACCGGAGGAAAAAAAATCATAAAAGCTTTTTTATGTCAAATTTTAAGTTCTACACATTTTCATACTCAATTTTTTGTAAAATTTTTACCTTTTTCGAGTAATTGCGAAAAACCACTTTTGATAATTTTTTTCAACCCTTGCCAGGTGTTGCAGATAAGAAAACCTTTACACATTTTTTGTATCATTAAAACTAGATTATATCAAAAAGTGCCAATATTTTGATAAATTTTTTTTATAAATTAAGGGTGACGAGCATACAGTCCCCTGTAAGTGGTTTTTTGTACAAAATTCAGCAACATTGAGCTGCTTACATCTATCACGTGGAATGCGTTATCGCGTTGCGTGGAATGCGTTATCATCCGTGAGGACTAAGGTCCTCACGGGTGATAATGAATCTGCATTTAAATTCGTAATCGAGGATAGATGTAGATGTCTATGGGCCACAGCAACTACTTAACCATCAGGTAGACTGTGAGCTCGTTTTTCACTCTAATTCTATTTTTTTTAAAACTTGTTGATAGCTTGGTCTAAATAAAGCGTGGTGAAAAAGTTAACAATCCTTATTTAAGGTATTGATTAAAATAGAGCAGCCTGTGTCATGGACACGGTCGGAGCAATTGAGTTTGACAGCACGAAACAATTAAAAATCTGAGAGAATTGAAAATACAGGTACAAAATGTATATTTAAATATTTATATGTTATGTATATCAAAAAGAACAAGAAAATAGAGTGCAGAAGACAGAAAATATTTTAATATTGTTGTACTATCGATATAGGAAATTTTTTAAGGTATATTCTCATAGTCATTACTTATATTTAGGTGAACACTAACATTGAATGAAACTAGTTTTTACGCTGGCTCCAGTAAGTCTGTAGTCTGTGAACATGTTCAGGATCGCCCCGCCATTACATAAGATTTGATAGATCAACAACAAATCCTTGCAAAATAACACCCATTTCTACAAAGGGTGTTATGCGAGACTATTGAAATCAAAAAAAAATCCTAATTTAAACAGTGTTACTGATGCTATAATTATTAAAATAAAATTCCCAGCCAAGCATAACACAGCAATTCTTCATGATACTATAATTTCCTTTTGCGTAGATCGGTTCAAAAATTAAGAATTTGACATTGAAAGAAGCCTTTGTGAACTATGACATTGGTACTTTAAATACCTTAGTGCTGTAAGTGCTGCAAAGTACACAAAATATTTTCTTTTTCTTTATAGAAGACAGCATGCGGCTCACGTGATGATAAGTGTCGACCGCCGCCCATGAACAACTGCAACGCCGGTTGAATTGCAGGAGTGTTGCAAACGTCGGGAATATATAAAAATAAACTATATAAACGTGACAAATTCCGTAAAAACTATTATCATTCAAGGTATATTCTCTTTAATTCATTCATTTCTATTCGTGCGTTAGCAGTGTCAAGCTATCAGCTCTGCGATTACCTACCCGCCTGTGTGTGTATGGCCGATCTTTTCCAAAATTTACTCCTAGTATTTTTTGAAAAGGCTTAGGGTAGGGTACGTCATCAATTTGAATCAACTTATTAATTTTTGAATACTGTTGACCTCATTGAAATGTGTAAGAAATGTTATTATTCTAATATTACATAAAACATTAAATAATCCATAGAAATGTACATATACATATGTATATATGCATACACACACGCATACACACATATATATATATATATATATACACACACATATATAAATATATATATATATATATATATATATATATAAATATATATATATATATATATATATATATATATATATATATATATATATGTGTGTATATCTAAAGATTATACCAGGTTATAGGTACCCCTTCACTGCCGTCTGATTCCGTCTCTGCTGATTCCTATTTCTGCCAAATGGCACTGTGTTCCAGTCTGAAGTGTTTAAAGAACCGGTATAACTACAGGCTTTGAGGCATTCCATCTTAGGCCTCAGAAGTTACAACGCTGCAACGTCTGTAGCTTTCTTTGTTTGAAGTTGGCAAGTGTCTACGGGCTGCAGTAACCATTTACCATCAGGTTAATCATTTGTCACTTTAGTACTAAAAAAAATCGATTTACAAAATTTCGTTTGCTGTATAGTTCATTATTGTCAAATAACATTCTGTACTACGTGGAAGTCAGTGTTTAGAGCTTTTGTTTCTCTTAGCTGCGAAATAATATGTTTATCGGGTTAATTATGATTGTTGGGATTCCAACCGCAACCTCCGTGGCTCGGGCAGGTAAATAATTTCGGCTCTAACAACATTACGCTGTGAAAGTAAAACGTTACGAGAATTCACTTAAATAATTATTACATCTGTTCCTAAAACAAAGCCAAAAACATTTTCACTTAATGTTATTGTACGAGATGATTTTAAACTTAAATATATATGTTTATGCAAATACTGAAATTATTACTGTTCTATATACCTGATCGATGTACACTGCGCTTGCCAATACGTGGTTTCCACTCGAGTAATTTTCTTGCAAATAGTTGTCGATTATTGAAACTTCACGGCCGTCCAATTCCCATTGGCGTGGGGCGCGTTAGAGAGTGCCCTTTTTATTTTACTCTAACACTTTTTTTAATATTAAGATACCAATGGAACTAACAGTGCCCGTGATTTTTTTTGTAGGAATAGGGTGACAAACGAGCACACAGTCCACCTGATGGTAAGTGGTTGCTATGACCCATAGAACATGTACATTTATCTTCGTTTGCGAATCAAAATGCAGATGCGTTGTCACCCGTAAGGACTAAGTTGGAATGCCTCTTTTCCAGTAAAAAGGGTCTCCGGTTCTCTACACTCACAATACGAAACACAACAGTGTTAAACTACTAGTTTACGCTGGTATTCTATGAGAGCGTGGTCCTTCCCCGGTCGAGCCGACCCATTCGTGCTACAACTATACTACTAATATAGCTGCAGCATGGCTCTACCACGTATAAAAAGTGTTAAAATATCAAACAAGTTTAACACAAATAAACAAAGAAGACAACAGCTTGCCAGCCTTAAATACTAAGACCTTACATTTTTTTTACACTAGCTCTTTTAAAGCTAGGTGACAGAAATAGGCAAAGGAAAAGACCAGTCCAGTCGCTGTTCCTTCTTGGTCTGAGAAATTTATATCAGGTATATAAGAAAAGATTATAACGCCACCTATAACGGTGACTGATATTTCTGAAATTCCCTCCCAATAGTCTCAGACTGATATATCAGGATGTCAATGTGTCATGGAAAATTACGCTGCCACAATAATGCAAAAAAAAAACAAAATTACATACCTTACTGTTAACAGAGCGATTTAAATACGACCTTACCTATTGTGATTCCAGATAAATAAAATGAAAGTAGTATAGATAATTTCACAACACGTGGCTCCATTGTTGAAAAAACTATTCACAACCAATCGTCGAAGTCAAATATAATAACTATTATGCTGAAGTAGCACATTGTATCCCGTTCTCGGTCAGCCTGAAACAAATAAAAGTAAGTTTTATTGTGACTATTACGTGGCAACAGTACTGAGGGTCCTGAATGCAAATTCCAGTTGGAGTCAATATTTGTTCGAAAACAAGAATTGTTGGTTTTCGAGTCTCAAATATTTAAAATGAATATAAATAAAAATGTATTTATGTTATTTACTTTCAAACTACTATTTTACTCCAGGGTCTCATACACTGCAACCTACTTACCTCCAATACTATCGGTAAGTTTTCTACAAGACTAATAATGAGAAATCTACGAACCTACAACGGATAGAGCATGATGTCTGTACAAGTTTGCCTTGCATGTTCTGGCCGTGACGTCATCAGACTAGTGTAAATGTATGTGCGAAATTGTTTCGAATTATCTTTGAGTTAAGATTTGAAATGGTGTAGCATAAAAATGCGTTTAACTTAGTGATTGATTAATAGTGTGTTATTGTGAAAAGTATTCGAAGCACTAAACTTTAATGCTAATTTTTATTAAAAAACTAAACAAAATTGGCCCTTGCTGAGGTGGACCCCGGCCACCTCAGCAAGGGCCCACCGAGATATCTTCGATATTGGACGTACGTCGTTTTTAAGGTTTCGTACCCAAAAGATAACCAATGGTACCCTATTACTAAGCCTCCGTTGTCCGTCCGTCTGTCTGTCACTTCTTTCTGATCTCATGATCCATAATAGTTAGACAGTTGAAATTTTCACAGAATGTGTACTTCTGTTGCCGCTATAATAACAAATAATAAAAATAAAAATAAATTAAGGATTAAAGGGGGTTCCCCTACTAGAAACGAGGTTTACGATAGTTCGGAAACAGGTAGGGATCCTTTTTACTAAAATTTTTACTGATTTAGTACTATGTTCTGCCACCAGGGCGGCGGACGCCACTTAAAAATGAGATGTAATATTCAACAGTTATTTTTTCTTTCGATACTATAAGTTTTAAAACATTATATTTGTTAGAATATTAAATTAAGATAAGAATAAAATACGCGCATGGATATGAGTGAAGATCACATTGGTGGAAAATAACAAAATATACGACGAGTTATGGTTTATCCACTACTCGACGGCAGCAAAAGTGCGTTCTAAATAAGTATAAAGTGAACCGATCGCCGTCTCGATGCGAACTGCCTCGTCCTCCCTCTTTCTTTTCGCACTAGCCCTCGGTGTTGCGTCAGAGTGAATGACAACCGATTACTTCGATAGATGGCGTTTTGCATATCCGATTGACATTCACTCTTAAATAATCTTCGAAATAATCAGACGCGACGTCAAGTAAATTGCGAGAGTTTTCAAAAGGTTTCCACTCAGCAAGAATCTGCTAAAAAGTGAAAATTAATTTAAAAAATAAACTATGTGTATTGGATCATATTTCTGTAATACAACAACCCTTGCGATAAATCTCAAAATTTAAAAAGATTATAATATTCAAAATCTACTGTATTTACTTTTAATTTCCATTGCGACCTCTTACAATTCTCTGAACAGTTGAGGGGCTTACAATCTCCTTCACTAATATTGTTTTCGTAATAAAGATATAAACTGTTCAGGGAATAAGAACGTCATATATGTATATTCCCCCATTAAGATCGTGTGCTCGTAACCCCAGAGTTCGTTAGCTAGTTCGGTAGTTTCGTAGTGACACTTCGAAATTTTGTTTGGCTTTTTAATTGCGATAATAGTATGTCATCTAAAATGGATTTTTGTTTGTATCATGTCAAAGACTCAAAGGTTTATTTTGTATGTCGTAGGAATTAAAACGCAAAATAATCAAGGAGACCCTTTTTACTGGAAAAGAGGCATTCCATCTTAGTCCTCACGGGTGACAATGCATCTGCATTTCGATTCGCAAACGAGGATAAATGTAGATGTCTATGGGCCACAGCAACCACTTACCATCAGGTGGACTGTGTGCTCGTTTGTGACCCTATCTTATAAAAAAAATATGTTGCATATGTTGCGTGATTGTATAATTATATTGTTATGCTTTCCAAATACTAATTTTATGTGTTGTGGTACATAGAATTTTAGACATTTTTTATATAATAAGTTTGATGAACTAAAACTGATCAATTTACACAACGCTTCAAAACCAAACGTCAAACTGCAAAACTTGTTGTCTTACAACAACGATTCCGAGCAGAGTTACACCATCGCGCTGAAGAGAAACTATTCCTTAAACTTAGCCTTGGACAACACTGTTAAATATAGTTTTAAATTTAATTTTGGAAGGGTTAAATATAATGTGTATTATATTATAAATATGGTCCAACGAGGTTCGTAAAAAGGCTAACTGAAAGGCTAATTAAGCTGGTTGGCTACGACATATAAATTAGCAAACCAAATAAAGGCAAAATTCGACCTATTTATAAAGAAGAAGTCATAAAAATTATGAAAATTACAAGCCTATTGCAATACTTTCTGTCATAAACCAAATAGTCGAAAAAGTAATTGTTAAACAAATAACAGATTTCTTAAAGGATAATTTTATATTAAGAGATCATCAGCATGGATTTCGAAGAAATAGGAGTATATAAATGAAAGAAAACATGTAGTAGGCATATTTATTGATTTTAAAAAAGCTTTTTACACTTTAGAACATAATCTCTTCTTGAAACCAATGGATTAATGTATTATAGGTACGAGGTCCTATAAACCATTGGCTAGGTAATAAGTTGCAAAATAGGTAAATAGTGACAGTTATTAAAAATATATCTGGAAAAGAGAAAAATGTAAAGTCAGGGGTTCTTACTGGATCTATATATGGACCAGTGGGCTATATAATGCACATCAACAGTATATGTATATGCAATGTAATTAAACACTGTGCTGTTTTTATCTATGCGGATGACATGTGCATCCTTTATGCTGACAAAAATCAAGATGAAATAGAGAAAAAGATTCAAAGTGATTTTAACATCATAATTAAGAGGTCTCATGATTATTATTAACACAGCAAAAAACTAAAGGAATGCATATGTCATCACCGCATAATATTAAAAATGCAAAAGAATATAAGGTATAATAAAATATAATATGCTTAATTGTAAATGTGGAATTATAGAATTTGTAAAACATTTCAAATACCTAGGCGTAACAATAGATAGAAACATGAACTGGGGTAGCCATATAGAACAGGTGTGTAATAAATTAAGAGGCGTATTAAGTAAATTGCATTTTTTGAAGAAAGTAACATCTAAAGCCGTACTGCATGTTGTTTATTACGCACTAGTTGAGTCAACGGTGCAATATGGATTAGTAGGATATGGAAGGACTTTTGAAACATATATACATAAATTAAAGCAATTTCAAATTAGATTTATGAAAATACTGGCTGAACTCAAAAGCTAAAATTTAATTTAGGGATAATTATGAGCAGCTTTCCAGGAGTGTAATTTAATACCGATTCACGAGTTATTTAAAATATCGCAATAGCGCATTGAGTAGCCATATGCCCATAATTTAGAACACGCGCAGATCGCGAAAATTAATAGCATTGCAATATAAATGTGCTAATAATTAATATGGCAAAAAAACGTTCCAATGCTTTATATCAAAAATTTACAACAATTTACCGGGAGAACGCCTTACGCATAAAACAAATACACTGTTTAAAAATAAATTAAAAAATGTTCATACTCAAAAATAGTAAAATTTGACATTTATGACATTTGTGTCGTGATGATCCATTATACAACAATGTAAGCCGTTGTTATTATGTACCTGTGAATGTATATTGTGTGTATGTATATATATACACAATATACCTAGTCAGGTCATAAGTATTGTCACACAGTAAAAACTTTTCTTTTAGAATGCTGGCCACAAAAAAGTTTATGGAATTCGAATTTCGAATTGTTCATGAAAATAAAACTGTATACTTTTTAGAATTTTACTCATTTTTAAATATGTAGTGGACGCTTAAAGAAGACCGTGTTGCAGTTATTGCGTTGCATCGTTGCGGTTACGCGCCAATTAAAATTTTTGACATACTGTAAAATTTGAATATAACCAAAAGATTCGTTTATCGTACCATCAAACGATACAATTAAGACTCTGGTGTAGATGACAGGTCAAGAAGTGGTCGCCCTTGGTCTGTTAGGACTCCAGCAGTGATAAAAGCTGTGAAGGCGCGAATTCAAAGAAATCCCAAACGTAAGCAGGAACTGTTGGCCCTTCAGATGGGGTTAAGCAGAACCACGGTGAAAAGGGTGTTAAATGAAGACTTAGGGCTTCGGGCATATCGAAGAAAAACAGGACATCGCTTGAATGCTCGTCTAATGGACCTGTGACTGAAGAGATGCCGCGCTTTGTTGAAGCGGTACGCGGGAAAAAAATATCGGGAAATTCTTTTTTCGGATGAAAAAATTTTTGCCGTAGATGAGAGCTACAATAAACAAAATGATAAGGTACGCACACAGTAGTGAAGAAGCGAGCAACCGTATTGCGCGTGTCCAACGAGGTCATTTTCCATCCTCGCTCATGGTATGGTTGGGAGTTTCTTATTGGGGCTTAACAGAGGTACATTTTTGTGAAAAAGGTGTAAAAACGAATGCAGTTGTGTATCAAAATACAGTCCTGACGAACCTTGTGGAACCTGTTTCTCATACCATGTTAATAACAGGCACTGGGTATACCAACAAGATTCGGCGCCAGCTCATAGAACGAAGAGCACACAAGACTGGCTGGCGGCGCGTGAAATGGACTTCATTCGGCACGAAGACTGGCCCTCCTCAGATTTGAATCCGTAAGATTACAAGATATGGCAACACTTGGAGGGAAAGGCGTGCTCAAAGCCTCATCCCAATTTGGAGTCATTCAAGACATCCTTGATTAAGGCAGCCGCCGATATTGACACGGACCTCGTTCGTGCTGCGATAGACGACTGGCCGCGCAGATTGAAGGTCTGTATTCAAAATCACGGAGGTCATTTTGAATAAACTTTAGTGTCATAAGAATTTATGTTTTATTAAGTTCATTTTGATA